TGCAATTAAACCAGGGGGAGAAGTGGGGAGTAGTACAAGCTCCATTTTTTTTCCCCATTGAACTGAGTTTTTGTTGTTATTTTTAATTGGACTTTACAGAAATTAAACTGTTGGTTTTGTTTTCATTCTGTATATTTTTGTTGCACAATAAAGACTGCATCTCACCTGCATCTTTTGGACTATACAGATATATCTGACTATTGAACGGGGAGAAAAAGCTCAAACTGTGAATTCTCTTCTTGTTCTTTTCTTTTTTTCTTTTTTTTTTTTTTCCCTCCCCCTCAAAAGAGTGAGCTGAAAACTTTAGGGGAGAAAGAAAAAGAAAAAACCTTTTGAATATTTTTTATTTCCTGTGGAGGGTTTCTTTTTCTAAAAGGTAAGTTATTCTTTTTTTTTTTTTTTCCTCACTCTTCTGTAGAGATACAGGGCTGAGATTATTGCAGAAAACCTTTTAAAAAATTAAGTAAATTTTATCAAATGGCAAGTATTATGAGCTGCTGAAACACAGGCTCAAGCAAAGGGTAATCGGACCAAAAACCCCTAGGTCTTTACAGCAATCCTTTAGCAAAGATTTTTCTAGGGATCTGTAATTAAACTGGATAGTTTACACTGGAAATGAAGAAATTGCTTGGCTGGCTGGAACCAACCTTTAGCTTGGCTGAGTAAACAAAAGCACAATTTCTTTTCTTTTCACTTTTTGTGTGCGTGTGTATGGGGAGGGGGTGGGCAGGGGAAAACAGGGGACTTGGTGAGGGTTAATGGTGTTTTTCGCGCAAGTGTCAGGAGAAGATGATTAAATTCCACCTCTTGTTCACCAGATCACTTTTGTGTGCACTTGTATATTTCATTGTCGGCAACCGCTGATGATCACATCTGTGCAGTACATTAAGTGGCAAGCCTCTTCATCTGCACGATTTTTTTCTGATGATTTTTTTTCTGTGAATAATTCATATGATTATGAAGAGAAAAACTGCTATTTTCTATCTCTCTTTCTCTCTTCTGTAGCACAGATTAAAAAAAAAAATCTCGCTGTAAATTGCATGATTGGGGAGATAGCCTGCTTTCAAATAATTTAATTCATGACAAAACCTAATTACTGTCAGGTAATACCCTGTCAGCTTTAATGCATTTCATCAGTCATAATGAAAAGAAGAGCATTTTATGACCCATCTAATTATCATTACATTTTAGGGGGAAATGAATGGCATGGAGCTGAATGTTAACTATTCCATTTTATTCCTTTACACATGTGGTTTGGCATATTATTCAGTAAGTTGTTTTTTTGTAGGGTGGTTTTTTTTTTGTTGGTTTTTTTTTTTTTTTTTAAGAATCCTTGATTGGCGGGGGGAGTGTAAAGAGGGGTGGAAGATGCAATTAGATCTGGGTGTTTGTTCCTTTCTCCTTCCCGCACATGCACACACATACACACACACAAAGTGACAAAGTGGTTAATGTCTTTGCAGGTTGGTGTTGACATCGGGTATCTTATTGCCACAGTCCAAATAGAGTACTAATTACTGCGAATGATGTCACCGTAGGCAGAGGAATAATCCCATCATTTAATTAGTTGAATGATTTAAACAAAGATTTGCATAGATGCACTAATCAGTTGCCATGAATTACAGAGCAGCAGTTGCCAGCGAGGGGTAACAGATCATACAGTTGGAGGGAAAAAAAATCTCATCTCCTTGAACATAATTAATTTAATTGTCCTCATTAGCTGTACCATTTGTTTTGATTTTATTTCTCCCTTTCCCCACACATAACTTCTCCCTCCCTCTTTTCTTCTCCTTCTCCAAGTGCATTGGTGGAGAGAGGCACACACACACTCACACTGCTGTATTTCCAGAGTGCTCGTGGCAGAGGTAGCCTACAAACAGAGGGAAGTGAGGCTCTCCTGAGCGTATGGGTGCGTGCAGGAGAGGAGCAGGTTTCTGTTAAGTTTGGCTTTTCTCTGTGTGCAGATCAAATCAGCAGAAAGGGGCTCTGTTAGTCTGCTGCCTCTGGTTGTGCTTTTCGGGTTCTTGCTCAGGTTGGTTGTGGCTGAGTTTTGTTGCTGCTCAGAGGGAGAGGGGGCATGAGATTCAGGAATTGTTCATTGCACAGTATGCTTGTTACAGGAACCTTTATATATGTATATTTATATGTATTAAAGAAGAAAAAAAAAAAAAAGAAGCTTACAATGTGGGGGGGGAAGTGGGGGAACCTGTCCTAAACATATACATTTCTGAGGTTGCTTTGATTTTTATTAGAGCTGCTGGATTATACAAGGGAGGGGTGTAGATGGCAGGGCACTTCAATGCTTTTAAATCTTTCTTGGGTCTTGAAAGACTTCTATAATATGAGTGTCATTCAAATTTAGGGTATATTGTAAGCTGACATCTTTCAAAGCTTTGTGGAAATCTAGCGTGGTGCTTCTAATAGCAGACAACAGATATTCACTTTGAAGTCTGAAAACTGTATTCACAAATTCTTAATCTGGTCTTTCTCCAACTGCAGATGGCTCTTAGAGGAAGATGCTTTGGATTTTCTTAACTTTATTTACAGTAGGCTAGGCTCAACATCTTTATTATAAAACACGAAGAAACAGTCATCTGTGAGCGTGACTGAGTATCAAAGTGGGCTCTACCTCTCGTGGGTTTGCGTGTCTGTCTGTCTGTCTTGTGGTCAGGGGTGTTCAGCACCTCTAACCACCCCCATATCTATTATCTTTCCCCCCCTGCAACACTAGGAAGGGGATAAGGATCTGTCTCAGCTCCTGGGACGAGGATGCTGTAGGGGGGGAATGGCTTGGCTCCCTTCAGCGTTCAGCTTCAAAAGTGCAGTCGGGGGATGGCATGTGGCGGGTGGGGCCCGGGGGTGGCACGGCCGGGGACCGTGCGGGGAGCAGGAAACTTTCACACCGGAGTTTCCACTGCTTTCTGAGCAGCTCAGATCTAACACGAGAGAGGCAGAGTTTTCACCTTCAGGGATTTTTCTCATTACTCATTAATAGAGAGATATGTATCTTGCCCCCTTTTTTTTTTCTTTTTTTTGCGTGGGCAACTTCTGGTTTTGTTCAAGCCAAGTATTTTGGGAGGAGTGGTGGCGGGTGGGGGGCTCGATGCTGCCCTGGCTGCCAGGGTCTGCTCCTGGAACACTCTCCGGGAAGGTGATCCCGAGCCGCCTCGGCAGAGGTCACTTGTGTGTGCGTGTGCGTGTGTCCCTGGTGTTTGTGTCTAGCATATGCATGTGGTTTTGCTGACTGCACTCGCAGGCTTGTAAATTTTCACCATGGGAAATTACCAACAAAGCCCAATCTGTCTCCTGGCTGCTTTGCACTTTCCGAGGGCGGCTGTACTTGAGCGAGCTGCAGAACGAGAGAGAAAGCGAGAGGGAGAGAGAGAGAGAGAGAAAGGGGGAGTTGGGAGGGGGGAGAGGAAGGGTGGGTGGGTGGGTGGAGGGGGAGAGAGGTAAATAGCCTTAAATCGGAAGGGAGCTGCTTCTCTGTGGTCTTCCACAAGAGCTGCCTGGGCTCTGCTGGCTCAGTAATAACTGAGTGACCTTTTCTTTTGCTGTATTATGTCTGGCTGGTAAGGGATTGCATTTTGCAGCTGATAAAGCCCTGACTTCATTCAACTCGGCTCCTCACACGCTGCTTTAGGTAAGTTGTCTTCAGCCAGGACGGAGACAGACAGCCTTGGACTGCAAGATACTAAAAGGAGGACACCTGTAGCTCGGATGCGGTCAACACAATTACTTGGCGGATCCTTGAGGACCTCATTATTTTAAACTTAAAGAATAGCGATCTCCCTCCCCATCTCTCCCACCCCCTCTTTATTTTTTTCCCCAAACAATGCTTCTTTTTGACCTTTTCCAAGGAGAAGAGCTACAAAGCAGCCACTGTGCTTATTGAACTGCCTCCCCTGTATCGCTTAATTGAGAAGGTAAGTGAGGCAACTGTGTACATAAGCTTTGGGTCATTTGTGTATGTGTGCCTGCATCACTCTCTCTCTCTCTCCTTCTCTCTCTCTCTCTCTCTCCCTCTCTGAGTCATAAGCCGGGGCTGCAATACACTCACACACATCTCTGCACTGCAACTTTCACTCGAGCTGCAGCTCTGCTGAGACTGTTTTGTTTAAATCATGTGAGGCTTCATTATTTTTATGATGAGACATGAAATACATGCAAGCAGAGGATGCTGAGCGAAACCCCTCCGACTGTATGTCTCGAGAAATAGCAAAGTTAACAATGAATTGCAGCCTCACCACTCCCCCCCCCCCGTTATTATTGTTATTATTATTCTTGCTTCTTCCAGAGCTTCTCGAAACACGCTCTCAATTACCAAGGGAGTCGGTTAATTTCCCACTCCCCGCCTTTAATCCACAAGCCTCCCCGTACAGCAGTTTAATTTGCAACCGGTTCGGCGCAGGGTTAACCCTTTGGGCAGAGCGGAGGCAGGAGCGGGGCGGGGAGCCCGGGGGGCGGCAGGGATGCGCTCCGGCTGCGGGCTCCGGGCTCCCGCGTCCTCCCTCTCCCGGAGCGGCCGGAGGGAAGGGCAGCCAGCCTGGTACTTCTGTCTGCGAGCATTTCTCCTTTCTCCTCTTCTTTTTTTTTTTTTTTTTTTTTTTTTTTTTTTTTTTTTTTTCTTTTTTTCTTCCCCCCTCTTTTCCCTTCCCACCCGGCGCGATACTGTATGCTAACGCCGCATGTGACAGTTTAATCAAACCCATTTGTTACAACAAAGCTAAGAGACCGCTGGGATTATAGGCTTACGGCAGAGTTAGGCGAGCATGTGGCTTTGTCGCTCGCCACCGCCGCGCGGGGCCGGCGGCTCGGGCTGTGCCGTCCCCCCATCCATCCTCATCCTCATCCTCATCCCCGGCCCCGCCGCCCCCCGCCCCCGCTGCGGCGCGCCGCGCTCCCGCTCACTTGACCCGAGCCGAGGAAGCGCTTGCTACTTTTGCCGGGATTTGGTGCTTCAATGAGAAGGAGCTCTCCAGGCGCCCGTAAATCAACTCATGCAGAAAAAGGAGAAAAGTTTTGGTAAGGCGGCGGTGGCCGGCGCTGGCGGTGCGCTCCCGGGGGGAGGCGGGGGGCTCCTCCTTCCTCTTCCATCCTCACCGCGGCCAGCGTGAGCCCTGAGCAGAGCCGAAATGCCGCTTCCTAGGACAGGACAGCTCTGTAGGACCGCTCTTTAAAGCGATTCCTTTCGCCCGGTGCAACAAACATCGCGACGTGCTGTGCCCGACACCTCCCTCTCCCCATCCTTGTGATGCTCGGAGAGGAATTGGCATAAAAGGCTTGAGCGTCTAACTCCGAAAAGGGATTCTTTGTTGCGGAGTATATGTTTCTTATTTATTTTTTTTTTTTTTATTTTGCATGTGAGCTGCATCAAAATTGAACTCAGTCTTGCAAATCTCTTGTTGGCCTTTGCCAAGCACTAGCACTTTGCTGCCATGGTAACTGTAATTAAACTGATAAGAGTGGAAAAATGTCAGTATCTCTGAGCCTTGCAGCTGCATTGGAGAAAAAGGGAATCAAATTGGTTCCCAGCACCACTGCTCTAAAAAAGGAGGGGGGGAGAGTGGTGGGGGGGCTGGGAGAGAGAGATGGGGGGACACGCCAGGGGTAGGAACATAGCTCAGCAGCTCCAGCCCCTGAGATCTGGGTACATCTATTTGCTGTGCTGTCCCTTAGGGGGCTACAGCCTGCAGGGATGCTCTGGGCCAGTGAACAGAGAGAAACAAGCTTTTAGGCCCAATCTAGCTTTCAAAAAGAGAAGGGGAAAGAAGAAGAGAAATCTTTTGTTTGGTGTCTCTTGGCAATCGACTAGCCATGTTGGCCAAATTCTTTTAATCTGTATCACTGCTCCCAGCTGTGGGACTGCACTCCTATTTTTATTTTTTGCCCAGCCTCTTCTCTTTTCCTTTTTTTTTATCCCCTCCTTCCCAACCCATATCCTTTATTTAGAAATATTTTTTTTAAAAAAAATCAGAAATAATAAAGAATAAAGCAGATTCCTCTGTAGAAGAAAGGGCAGGAGGTGAAGTCTAGTTATATACCATGGAAAATTAACTCAGAAGTATAGAGGAGAGGCTATATTCAGAGTGCTGAAATCCTTACTTTTATTTTAGAAAAAACCCCGAGTGTTATGGAGTTGCGGTTACTTTGTTGTGTTAACTACAGAAGCTGAGACTGTGCGGATGAATGGCACAGAACAAGAGAGCATAATGGAGGCAATCAACCGTTAGGCTGGTTCACAATGCAATCCAGGCAATTAAAAGCTCACCAGAGTTTAAATGAAATGGTTCCACTTATTTCTGTGCACCACACTGCACAGGCTATTATTTATGTCTCTTTTTTTAATTATGATTTCCCTTAAACTGTCAAATAACTCAGAATAGCAGGGTCTCGGAGGCAATAAGAATTTTCCACAGAACAATTTACATGCCAATCTAAAACTAGTTACGACTCCTGATGTGCTACATATGAGTTCTGAGATGTTTCTTAGCTTCTGAAACCTCAGCTTTTTTTTTTCTTTTCCCAAGTGTGTGTGTGTTGCCCTGAATTACTGGAGCTCTGAATGCTTTTAGGATAAAGCTACAAAGTGGGAAAGCACCAGAAAAGTATTCTTTTTATCTTTTCCTAGACCCCTAACTCTCTTGTTGACTGCATGTTTTCTGTCAGTTTGCTTTTAAAGACTGATGCACCTAATACTCAATTTGCTCCAAACTGATTTTTCAATTATTTTTTTTCCTAAATAGGGACAAGTTTGCCCTTTTGTGCTGTTTGTGCTACTGCCTTTGGTAGAACTGTGTGCATGCTTCTGAAAAAGGGGGAAAGAGTGGTCTTTAAAAGTTTGTAAGAGATCCAGTGCATAATATCCAACTCTTCCTCCCAAGGACTTGCCTGTACCACAAATAAGAGCTGAGTTCTGAGTGTCTCATGCCATGCTCAGCACCATCAGGGACTAATCCCTCTTACAGATTCTTCTAAATCACTAACACAATATAGTTCATTACATCAAATCCTCATTCCCCTTGATTTTTGAGAAGGGTGATGATTTGAGTGAGATGGATTTTTGCTTCTCTGCCTTCCCCGGGAGCCTAATTTAGCTTTTTCCAGCAACCATTGCTCTTTATCATGAAATCATAGTTACAAATCAGTTGACAGTGTTTCATCACACCATAATAACAATAAACAGGGAGGGGAGTCAGTTGCATCGAATTTATTTGCGGAGATGGAAAGAAATCTGAAAACCTGCAAGTCTGGTTTTTAAGTTCTCCCTTCAAAAATCCTAAAGGGGATGAATGGTGATGAAGTCTTATTCCTGCCTCAGCTCTGCAGCTTATGTGGGACTGGGGGTGGAGGAAGGGAGGGAGCAGAGGGAAGGATAGAGGAAGCCCTTGAAAGCATATTGGGGTGAAATAAAAAGGGTTTGTTTGACAGTGACAGACTAGGCACTGAAATTCCTCAGTTCTGAGAACAGATCTGCTCTGTGATGCAGAGCATGGGTAGAACTCTGCAGAACTGAAGGGAAAGCTGGGTTTGATTTCTCTCTTTTTTTTTTTTTAATTTTTTTTTCACAGCCTGGGTGTAGCACTTTGGGAATTGTATGATGTTTTGAAAGTGCTCCATAAGCTCTGCTTTCCTGGGGGAGGGGGAGAGGAAGGCAGCCAGGCAGCAGTGCTGTGCACTGCCACCTGATATTTCAGCAATGAGCAGTTTGGATGGGTTTGTGGGTGCTGTCAGCCTCTGAAAAGGCCCTTCCCATGTCCTAGGGAATAAATGAGTGCTTAAACTGCAGCCTGTGAAAAGCTGGCTGACAGTGAGCTGCAAGGTATTCTTATTGCCAAATTAAGGGAGAGCTAAAAATACACAAGCATGTATCTGAAAAGTGCAACTGCATCGGAGGGAGACCTTATGGGAATGTTAAAGGGGAGAGAGAGGGTCTGTGAGGTGATCTGCATTGGGGTGGCTCATACAAATACAGGGGGGGAAAGCAATAAAATGTTCTGCTGTCAATACTAAGGGATTTAAACAGGGCGTGTGAAGAAAAGGACATTTTCAAATCCAGAGATATGTCAAACACTCCTTGACTTTGTTTAGAACCATTCTACACTACCAAGAAAGCGTAACTTCCTTCTTTTCTTACAATGAGGCAGTAGTTCGGGGAATTTGAAATAATAAAATACAACCAGCTTCATTGAATGTAAAGTAAGAGCAGATCACATCTATCAGAGGAGAAAAGCATTCCTTCCCTCTAAAAGCTGCTGCAGGTAGAATCCCCCATCTGAAGGTGCTGCCAGTGGGGTGTCAGCACCACCTTCTCTCCCTGCCTCAGGGAAACAGACCTGCAGGGCTGCAAATACTCCTTCCATGGGGTGTTTGCCCCTTTGCAGCTGCCCCTACAAGGTTTTGGGCTAACCAGTGTGAATGACAGGGCTCTGCCTACTTTCCTCATGTAGTAAGAATCTCAAAAGCTGTGCAGGCCATGTGCAAGCTGCAGTTTTATTTGTAATACAATAACCTCATGTTTGCAGCATACACCTCGGGAATTATCAGGATTGATTACTGCAATCTGCTCAGACATTCACTTGTTTGGCTGTGTTTCTGTGGCATCTTGTTCCCTTCAGACAGCTCAGGACAGTAGATCAGCCTGGATCAGAGACTGTCAGCCTCCACTCTCTAACCCGCTTCCTTATCAGGCGATGAAATTTTTACATTAAGATTTTTTTCGTTAAAACCTTTAACTGTGTTAGCTCCTAGTTTATTCTGGTTTCCCTCAAGCTAAAGATTAAAGTCCTAGAATAGCCCTTCATGCTTCTGAACTTTTTTTTTTTTTAACTGAGTTACAAGAAGTTTATACAATTGTGGCTGATTTTATGTGTTTGTCCTCTACATGGCCAAAGAGAGGTTTTGGGATAAGCCTGTTGTTGGCACCTGGTGGATATTTACACTCTACTATGTAACATAATCTGTAACATTACAGATTAAGGCTTTTTGCCCAAGTGATGTTATTAGAGTTTTCTTTACAGTCTGGTATCGGTTGCTTACCAAAAAACTCTGATATTTTCACTGCTTTGAGTTGTTTATTTGTAGCCATGTTACTTTGCTGTTTCATGGATGTACCCTGGATTCAGGGCAGTCAGCTGTCAGTTGAAGATACTGTAAAGGCTCAGCCTTTGTCTCATGGTGCTTTCTCAAGAGGAAATGTGTGTGATCATTCCCAGATCTGGGAGAGACTGTGGAGCCCAGAGCAGGTCACTGGATCTCATCCTCCCCCTTGGGAATGAGAGACAGATCTTAGGAGTCTCTATGTGGTGAGGAGTTATGAGCATCACCTGGGGAGTGATGGGAGGGACAACACTGACAATTTTATACTGGTTGATAGAAAAAATACACACTGCTGTCATGAGATTTAGATGTTGTGCAGCAGTGCTGCCAGGGTACTTTGGGGTGTCTGCTAGCAGAACTGCCTGCACACCCCTGAACACTCCTCCACCAGATAAATGTGTCACCCCAAGCTGTGTGATAGGCTGCATTGCAAAGAGAGGAGCGAGGCTGCTGCTGCAATAAGCATTACTATTTCTAATTCAGCAATCAACTTAGCAGGTGGAACTTAGGAGTTCAGCTTGGGAACCAAGTCACTTAACTGGCCATGCAGTCGCTGCGCTCCGCGTAAATTCCCTGTGTTCTACACACACCTGTGTGTAGCTCCCTGGGATGCCTCAGCCTGTTGTTTTTGCAGCCCTAGCATCCATAAAGGCACGTTCTACCACTGCTTCAAACATTACACTGGTTTTCGTGTTTTTCTTACGAGGGATTTCAAAAAAGCAAACACGAACCGAACCAAACAACCCCCAGCTCGTGTGCCTTCAGCTCCCTGAGCCTGCCTGCCCGTGGTGGTGTGCTACAGCACCAGCCAAGGTCTGCTGATAGAAGCTGACACTGCCAAGATTTCTTAACTCCAGGTAGTAGAGCCTTCATGATAAGGGGCCCTTGAATTTGCTCTTCTTTGCTGTGAGACTCTGTTCGACCTTTCCCAATCTCTGGGTGATAATAATAGGGTTGAAACCCCAAATGCTGGAGTAAGATTTGCTTGTTGGCAACAGCGTTTGTTCCCCAGTCTTGACAAAGTCTCATTGCAATATTCAGACACACTCTAGTGAGTACCATCTTTTAGAAGTTACATCACTGGCTTTACAACAGCGAGGTAACCCACTATTGAGCAGCGTGTTGGTTCTTCCTTTCTCTCCTATCCCTGTTTGATGTCCACCAAAACATCCACAGGGCTATTATTTTGCTTATCCTAAGAGGTAACTGTGAGAGAATTAGTCAGAGTGCACTGGGGTGGCAGTTCATGCAGCTAAGCAGAGAAACCAGTCTGTGAGCACTTTGGGGCAGTGACCTCTCCCCATTTACTGTAAAGCTGAGGGCAATTGATTTTTGAATGGATCCCTGGAAGCTGGCTGTGTTGCTCTGAGTAACATCACTCAGCTGTGTTCCCCTTTTCGCTGGTTCTGTCCATTAAACAGTGTTTCAGGAGTTTGAATGGTTTTTTAAATGCTCTCAGCTATTACATCAAAAGGTGTATATGTACTTAATGGACACTACTGTACTCCTTGTCCTGAAGTAGCTGTTGGCTAAAACGGGATTGGAAAGCGGGGCAGCATTTTTATTTTGTTTTTCTTGACAAACTAGAACCTCTCGGACCTTGTGCAGATTATTTTAAGTCAGATTTTTCAGGAGGTCCTTCTACTGCGTTGCTGTTACTGAATTCTTTGGAAACCTCGTCGCTTCATTAATGTGTCTAAAAAGGACTAAAATATTAAAAAACAAAACACCCTCTTGCCAGCATCAAAATTTCTATGTCAAATCTCTCAGAAACTCTTGGTCCATGTCTCTAAAAGCTCCAATCTTTTCTTCTTTAAAAACTGGAGTTCTTTTACATTTTATAAAGATAGTGCAAATAAGTCCACATATGTGGCTTCAAGTATGTTTGCCACATAGATATCCTGTTTATTTAAATTTTGGGCTTCTAATTATTGGAGACATGCTGTTTATTTAAATTTTGCTTTGCTAAATGTTGGCTACTGTGGCTGAAATTGGATGACTTTTCCACTGGACTGTTTTAATATTTCGTGGGGTTTTTTTTAATCTTATTTCTTTTCAGCAAAGAGACCAGGTAAATGAGGTGTTAAAGAGAAGCTGTGGAACTTAGAGCAGTGGAAGTTTCTGCTCTCAAATTTATCTTAGCCTTGTTTTCAGCTCGCTGTGGACTGACTAGGTTATTTTATCCTGCCTACACCATTGACTTTTAAATGAACTGGGTTGAGGGGCGGGGGGAGCAACGAGGTGGAGGAATAAAAGGGCAAGATTTTTTGTACTTGAGAGAATATCTATTTTCAGTCTTCTCCTGTCTTACTGTATTTCAGGTATACAAATGCTCTCAGTCCAGCCAGACACCAAGCCGAAAGGTTGTGCTGGCTGCAACCGTAAGATTAAAGACCGATATCTTCTAAAGGCCCTGGACAAATATTGGCATGAGGACTGCCTGAAATGTGCCTGCTGTGACTGTCGCCTGGGGGAGGTGGGCTCTACCTTGTACACCAAAGCCAACCTTATCCTTTGTCGCAGAGACTATCTGAGGTAGGTCACGGCCTTCTTCCGTTCGCTGGCAAGCTCGGGAAACCTGTTCAGCCCTTCCTACAGAGCTGCTCGCACACAGGCAGGGCTGCAAGGCTGAGTGTTGAAGGAAACAAATACTGAAATGTGGAGATTGAATTAAAACCTGAGTCAAAAAGCACACACGACCAGGTCGTGGAGGAGGTTGGCAGATTTCTGATGCTGATACTAGTGTAGAGGAAATTTCCCCCTGCTTCCCACAGCTCCTGGAGAGGTGGTGGTCTCCTTCTCCTCCTCCTGGCAGCACAGTGGTGGCCAGGTGTCACAGCCTGAAACCAGCTCTGTGGTTTTCACAGCTTCAGGGCAAGGTTGGAGCCCTACGGGTGAGGAACGTTTCACCCATCTTCGCTTTTGTCCTCTTAGTTTGCCAAGGGATTTTTTTTGTGGCACTCAAGTTTTATGAAGGTTTGCGCTCAGCTGTTGGAAGCTGGACCAGGATAGCCGACTGACTTCCCATTTTTAATAACCATGAGCTCCAATCCACTCTGCTCCTGGTTTCAGTTGGCAGCCCAGGTGGGATGCTGCCTAACCGGTGGCCACCTGTTAGGGGTAGCAAATCATCACCTGCTTTTCCATTTTCTTGTTTGCTTGTGGACCTATATTCTCAAAAGTATTTGAGGAAGAACTCATAGCAAAGTACTGATGAGCAGCACCAGCATAGTTTATCTACACATTGTGTGTCAATAGGGCTGCTTTGCAGGACAGAAATTTAACTGGGAAGTTTAGTGTCCCTGGGCTCTCAATAGTAAATAGAGAGAAAAGACTCCTCTGGGGTGATTCCAAGCACCTATTCCCTACAGTAACACCTTTCCTCCATTCCCTGTGGAGAGTGTCTAATGAGACTAGCTGCTCCAGGCTAAGGTGAACTTCTGGGAATATTTCCCCTGCCCCTTTAGTGAAGCCTTTTCCTTTTAAAGGGACATCGAAGTTGCTAATACATTGGGGGAAAATTAAAATTCTTTTTGAATGCATTAACTTCCAAGTCCTGCTTAAGTACAGGCACCAAATAGGACGTTCCCATACACTGATCAGTTCCCAAGTTATACACCATCAGTAGGCAGGAACAGGAATCAGGACTAAAGGTTTAACCACTATCAGCACTCTGTCTCTCCATGTAACCACATCTAGAAAAAAAGAGTGGAACAAAACCTTCAAAAACGCGCTGTGCATTTGTTGAGCTGGGGCTGGAAGGCAGATCAGGTTCTTCAGATGGGCTTAGACTACTTAATGGTAAAAGTATTCTGCTACCTATTAAAGCTCTGAACTGAACCCAAGATAGAGAGCTGGGAATTCAGCATAGAGGCTGCACCTTAAACCCGTTGTGTTAAAGCTGCCAAAGTAGTAGGTAACAAAACCTCACTTTTAAAAGCTGATGGAACAGAAGGGAATTGTTGTACATGAACTTAGGTCGCTTGTGGTCTTTAGCTGAGTGTGTGTAGAGAAGGTTTGAAAAAGGTTTTGGTGCAGGGAAGTAACATCCCAATTTTTTAAAACGCATTTCAATAATCTTTATACAACAAATGCCTGCAGGAGCGAGAGAACTGCTATGGCTGTTTCATCTGAGTTCCAAATTTACTGGAGACTTTGAGCTTACTGAATCTCCCAAGTGCTAGTGCAGCAGATCTAATGTTTTGAAATCAAATGTTTAAAATCAAAACCAGAAATGATGTGGTAGCAAAGATACGAGCAAAATATTTCCCCAGCACAGATGCATTCACACACGCTCTTGCTCTCTGCTCTTTGAGGGTTTAACAGGAGTAAATATTTTGCTAACAGATTGTTAAAACTCATACTAAGTGATTCAAAGAAAGGAGATTTTTGTTGTTGTTGTTTGTCATGATCACATTCAAACTGGTGTTTCATTTATTTCTTCATACATAACACCTTTTACTTTTGCATGTGAAACTAGCATACATAAGAAATCCTATAACTGGTTTTAAGATGTTTCTGATTTTTGTTTCTGGATTTTTTGAGTCTTAATGAACCTATTTCATTGTGGGTTTGTTTTTTTGGTTTTTTTTTTGGTGATACCGTGAGTGCATAGATTTAAACTTGGTATTTACACTAAACTTCAAACTGATGCACTTAAGGTAATTGCAGATAGTCATTTGCCTCATTGCATCTTATCTACTCAGTTATGCAGTGAACCTATAAAAGTGATCTTTTTAGTGCTATTGTACAGACTAGTTAAATTTTCTCTAGCTTTGTAGTCAAATAAGCTTTCATATTTAGCAACCCACTTGATATGAATTTAAGGAACAAATTGCATTGTACTAATGATCACATTAGAGTTCTATTATGGTTTCAAACTATCTTCTTTGGTTTTTTTCTTTTTAACCATAAAGGGAGTCTTTGCTGCGTATAAAACTGTTCTGGCTTCCTATTAATTTATGTGGTGCCCTCTAGAGGATATGTGGCTTGAACGATACTATAAAGAGTAAAATTGCTTATTAACTTGTCTCTCAGTGTTCATTATGCCTTCCAATAAGACAGGCATTCTACAGATGCTACAAGCAATCATGCAGCCAGTTTGGGTGCTTTAGCATTCGTGTTTAAGTTCGTAAATGGTGTGATTGTGTCTTTGCCTGTTTGCAAAAGTACTTCCAGTATCTTTCATTTAGAGATGCCTGCCAAAAAAGCTACACCCTCCCTCAGCCCTGATGCATGCTCTCATGCTGCAGCTGAGCCCTGAGGTCCCCACTTTGAGCTCCTTATAAATACCCTGCATCCTCAGAACTCCAAAACTTGCTTTGCTTTAGCTGCCTCCTTTGGTAAAATTAGTTAATTATACTACGCTAAACCCTTTTTCTCCAGATCAGGAGGGATTGAGGGAATGGAAGGAATCTTTAATGAAGGAAGGAGCTTGAAAGATGCTGCGGGTGTGAGAGGCTTTGCCCTGGAATCTGATTCATGCTCGGCACTCCAGCGGTTCCCGAGGTGGCGTACGACACCGCGGTGTCGGGGTGGCCGCGGCAGGAGCGAGCTCCGCTCTGTTAACGAGGATGGGAACTGACTGGAGCAAAGAAAGGGCTCAGCGTTAGAAATAACACGCTCCCCGAAAATGATATGCAGAGTATAATTCCCCTGCAGGCTTCTGTCTTCTGCTTATGCACTCCTGGGTTAGAAAGTGAAGACTTAATTTGAGGAACTTAGGTTTACGCCAATATTTCAAGTCCATTTATAGGAAGTGAAATATGCAAGAACTTTTTTTTTTCCTCCCCTTCTTTTCCTCCAGAGCTGCACGGTGACATCTTAATGCATCAGCCTATCCTGCTCTGTCCTCTCTTCTGACTGGCAGCGTGTCCATTTGCAAGCACAATATTCCCTTTGAAATCTGTCATTACTGCCATTAATGACCAGTCATTATGTTAACAGCCCTTGGGCTGTTAACATGTCAAACTGGTTGTTAACTGGAATGTTATTACTTATTTAAACCACAGGTATGAGTTGTGTGAAATGTGCTTTGGTTGCACGTTCTGGGCTGCTTCTGCTCAAAACAATAGGGAAACAGCAGAGCGTTTGCCTTTGGGGTGCCAAGGGATTTGCTTTCTGTTCCATCTGCTCATTTGATTTCTGTATATTTGTGAGGTTCTCCTACCCCTGGGCAGCCTTCTAATTTCAGGTGCAACTGTGTGCAATGCCTTCTCTTAGCCTTGCCTGCAAATGGGCAGCCGTGGATGTTTCCAGATGCACAGCAACGCCTGCTGCACGTTTGAGATTAATACCTGGCCCTAGAAATGTGAAATAAAAGACCGACAATTACGTGTAACTCAGTTGTATTAAATAATGAGCTTCCTCGGATGCAGCAGAAATATGAAAGTACAGCTGTGCTAAGCTAGTTGCAATGTAGGTCAATCACCCTTTTCACTTAGGTTTTTAACTACGCAAACCCCGCTGAGCGACCAATGACTACAAAGTGCTGTTTCATTCCTATTTAATTTTGGCAGCATTTTACTGAAGAGCAGGCATTCATGCAGCTAAATTATCTTTGCCGTTTCTGGTTTTAACTCCAGCTCCATGACACTAAATGTTGGAGTGCATATCTCTTAGTAAACACAAAGAATATAGTTTCTGATATATATATATATTTTTCCCAAATCCACCTCTTAACATGGAAATTGAATTAGAACTTTTATTACTTTTTGCATAATTTCCCTAGCCAGGCAAGCAAGATCATAAGAAAAGGATTAACAAAACTAATATATTGGGGTGGAATTTTTTTTGCCCTTAAACACATCGTAGAACCTTATTGAGAATGGGGAGGAGAATGACAGAAAGTCTATCCTCTCCCCCCACCATTCCCCCTCCACCTCACTATTGATACTATTTTTAAATATACAGCAAACTTTAAAAGTACCACTGAAGAGCTATGAAAATGAGTCTCATTCCTGAGGAAAGGGACAGAACATGCTGGGGTTTTCTCTCTTCCCTGCTTGCTGGTTGAAAGACCTGAGAAAAGCCAAGTCACTAAAACTGGATATTGGAGAAGATCTTATAAATAATGAGACTTGACCACAGAAAGTAGTGTTCAACCAGAAGCACTATAAAGATGCTGCCTCTGTACAATATTTAGCTCCAGAGCAGTTGGAAAAGAGCAGAACTTAGGAAGCAGCTTTTTCCTGTACAACCGCTCGCACTCTAAAGGCAATTATTATTTAAAAAAATCATTGTGTAGGAGTGCTTAGAGAGACTTAAAATGTCTTGTGGCCTGGTGCTGATTAGCAGATTCCATTCCTTTCTCATGTCTTGGGCAGTATTGCAAGCACCCAAGATATCAGCTTGCTTAAATGCGTGTATAAATACTCTGCATTGATATTTTCATGGGTAGTGGTTATAAATTTTTTCAAAATGCCTCCTCAACCTGTTTCTTGCCCAGCTTGATTAAATAAGGGTAGACCTTTAAAGATTTAAGCACTCTGAGTTTTCAGGAATATTGAGGTGTTTATGGAAGTGAGGCTTTAGAG